AATTAATATTTCTATTTTAATATACTTCTAACGGAATTTGCTAAGTCTGCACATTTATCTCCTAGATACCTGAAGTTTGTTCTTAAAATATCAACATCTGTTATAACCAGGATGCACCCCCCCAAACTCAGTGTCAACACTGAGAACCCTAAAGTTTCTTGCTTCTTTAAAAAGCACCTTAGACATTTTATGAACATATCAGTAAGAAGTCTCTTCACATCTAAAAATCAAAAGAAAACATGCCCTTTAGATAAAGCCCCCAAAGGTCACAATTTTTACCTAATGATGAACAAATATGCATCACTAAATGCCAATGTTTACTCTGTATTTACTCCAACTTTGACCTTCTTAAATGCTTTTTTTAAAGCAATTACAGCTTATCACTATAACTTCCTCTGTGAGCGGAGGGTAACTGCCTTTCCTCTTCCCATTGTCAAGATAAAGGAAAGGGAGTAGAGGAGGTTAAGTGTAATGCTCAAGGTCAGGTACCAATCAGTAGTGAAACTCCATGGACCTTAATTGTGTGTGTATGTCATCAGGTAATACATACATCATCTTTCTCTCCTTCTGATCACTGATGGAGTGTGTAGCTATCCATTTTCTCTAATGTTAGAAGATAAACATAGATGTCACAAGCCCAAAGATTATTTCTACTCTTCTTTCCAAATAATTCTTCACACAAATATTGTGGGTTTTTTTATTTGTTTGTTTGTTTGTTTGTTTTTAAGTTGGGAACATTAGCCAGGCATGGTGGCACACACTGGTAGTCCCAGCTACTCTGGAGGCTGAAACAGGAAGATTGCTGGAGCCTAGAAATTCAGGGACCAACCACCTGGGCAACACAGAAAGATGCAGTCTTGGGGGGAAAAGATGCTAACTCTGTATATGTCTGTAAAATACTAATAAATAGCCAATTGTTTTTACACACACACAAGCTAAATGAAAGAAAAAAATGTAAGCTACAGAAAGTATCATGCTAAAATGTGTCAAATGAAAACCTTGAGACCTCCCATTTTACAGACCAGACATAAGCATTGTTTCTAAGTACATAAACATTATTTCTAACTTTTGTTTTAGATTAATTGCTTTAAAAGTATATGAACAAAAAGAGGGCACTTTTCTAAACAGTAATTGTTTAGCCAAGGAAGATGCAGTGTATTCAACTTAACTGGATAACATGATTTGGTTAAACAAGGAATTAAGTATACAAAATTACCCGCATCATAACAGATAGCTTATATATTTGAAAAGTTTTAATAAAGTTGTGGAATACTGTAACACTTCAGAGTAGATCACAATTCAGATTTTGTCCCTGAGGATGCTTCTTGCATTAAAGATAATTCTTGCATTTTAGAACGTCAGAGAGCACAATAATTAAACTGAGCTTTACTAACAGGTAAAACAGAAAGATTCTATAAATGAGGCAGGTGGTAGGTCCCATCAATTTTCCTTACTTAAAAAAAAATTCCCCAATTGTGTAATGCCTATTCAGTGTGTGAAGTTATGCATTTTATTGACTGATTGAATATAGCTCTTTTATTATTGCTACCATTCTGTTTACTGTAGCTGTTTAAATAGCTAATTATTTATTAAGATGGTTCAAGAGAATTTCATTCTTAAGTGGAAAAAGAAATAAAAGTATGGACCTTAAGAAAATGAGGTCATTTTATTTTACAGTGTTAGGTTGACAGATTCTCTTTACTATTTTTAATTCTGAAGCAGAGAATATCAAATCATGATTTAAAATACTGAATTAAAATTCAAAATATTGAATTAATTACATAAATAGTGACGTCCAAATTGATGACTAAGTTTGGGAGTTAAAAAGTCTTATGATTAGCAAGGCATGGTGGCGCACGCCTGTAATCCCAGCCTTTGGGAGCCTGAGGCAGGAGGAGTTCAAGGCCAGCCTGGGCTACATAGTGAGTTCAAGGCAATCTGAACTACATAGTGAGACTGTGTCTCAAAAAAAAAAAGTTATGATTAAAAACTGAACAGGTAACAAAGGAAGATATCAGATGTACTTTTCAGGCTACTTCCATTTAATCTTCAAAATGAAAAATCATTTAACAGGTAATCATATTATAAATCATTTATTCTCTAGCTCCACAAATAATAATTGAGAGTAAAAATTCAATAATGCAAATAACAGTATTCTCCACAATATCACTTCTTTTTTGTTGGAAACCCAGAAACCCAGGGTGTGCTAACCCACATACACAGCCCTTTTTATATTTTAAGTCAAAACAGGGTCTGGCAAAACTGCCTAGGCTAGCCTCAAATTTGTAATCCTCCTGCCTCAGCCTCCCAAGTATCTGTCATTACAGGCACGTGCCCACACCTGTCTTACAATATCACTTATAATGTTCATGTAACTACTCACAACTAACTTGAGAATGACATCATTTAATTACTTATCCAAGCATTCATTAAGGTTCTTTATGTGCCAGGCACTTTGCTAGGCACCGGAGACTAACCCATAATTGAAAGACTCTTGTTACACTCAGAGAGCTTTCTGATTAGTAGCGGAGAAAGCCATAGAAAACAGCAAATGTATGATATGTACCATAATGGAGGCATATACATTCTATTGTGCAAGTTTAAATAAAAGACTAGTGAACTCAATTCATCCAATAACTAAATTTCTTTAACGCTCATATAAACTTTCACTCATACATCAGGTATATTGATACAAATTCTGGTTATTTTATCAACAGCAATGATTTTCCTTCTTTTTGTGTGTTTTGTACTGAGGATCGATTGAACCCAGGGCCTCACAAATGCTAGGCAGGTGCTATACAACTAAACTACAACCCCAGCCCTTTCTTTTATATTATTTTTAGATCAGCTCTCACTAAGTTCTCCAAGTTGGCTTCAAATTTGTTATCCTCCTGCCTCAGCCTCCTGAGTGGCTAGAATTACAGGAATGTGCCACCCTGCCTGGCCTATGATTCCTTATCATCACACACACAATTATTTCTCATAATTTTTACTTTTATCTTGAATTAAATATTGAAGATGCATAAGATTCTCATAAATCACATGGAGGTGAGTATTTGTTACTTCTGGGCTAATGACAACTAAGAAAACAAATTAAAAGTCTTGCAAACTTCTGTAGAATAACATTATTTAAATAGCAATAGCCATTCATATTTCACGGTATACAAGGAACATAACAGAGCTACACTTGGAAAGAAGCACTCATCAGTATTCAAAATCTCTGCACATAGTAACTCATTCTGTCCTCACTATACTCCTGATAAGTAGAGGATACTATTTTCCCATTTTACAGATGAAGAATCTAAGGTTAAATTGGCCAAGGTCACAGAGATGACAAGAGAAAATGGTGGGCCTTGAAACTACAGAACCTTGTTCCAGACCCTCTTCCCTCTTTTAACCACTACCCTAGACAACCTCTCTGGGCATGGCGATGACCACGACAGACAGCTAGCACTGAGACCTGCACTCTCATTAACCCTTTCTTCCCTCTCTTTTACAGGAGAACACCAGCACAGGCTAGGTTAAACACTTGCCCAAGGTCACAGAATCAGGATAGGTGGAAAGATTCACATTCAGGCAGCATGCCTCTCCCATGCTACGAGGCCTTTCAATGATTCAGTTTTACCCTCCTGAAAACAAGTATCACAAGATGAAATTTATTAAACAATTCAAAAAGGCTTTGGGGGTTTAGGGGCCCACGACAAGCTTTTCCTTCAGCTGGCATTTACATTTAGGTCACTTTTCAACTTTACTACTTTGGACTGATCATAAACATTTCTGCTCTTTAAAAAGAAATCTTTTCCGTAGCAACTTGGCAGATTTCAGTAAGGGAACAGTGTATTCTTTAAAATTAAATTTAGTAACAACTTATTCTGGTTAGTATGAAAGAGAAGGAGAAAATGAACCACTAAGAGGCCTTTCCAGTACTTTAATATTTCAAAACATGTTTGGTTTGGCCTAATTTGAATCTTGTGGACAACTAGCCCTAAACTTGACGCAAAAGTAGTACCAATTTAAAAAGGCTGAATTTTAAACAGCAACCCCAGAAGCCAATCCAGAGTAATTATTTTTCATAATTTTTACTTTTATCTCGAATTAAATATTGAAGATGCACAAGATTCTCATAAATCACATGGGGGTGAGTATTTGTACTTCTGGGCTAATGACAACCAAGAAAGCAAATTAAAAGTCTTGCAAAATTCTGTAGAATAATATTGTTTAAACAGTAATCAAGTGCACAGAAGATGAATATTAAAAGAAACACAATCTATATTTCCTTTATATTCTTAACACTCTGCACTGTGTCCAATGATGGGGAAATAAAATTCTGTGTTGTACTGCCTACCTACAGTAGAGGCGAGCTGTAAAGAAAGCGTCAAGCTGAAGAGCTGAATTTCTACCTTACCTTGCTTTCTTCCAACAGGTTCACAGACTTCACAACCTTTAATACTGCATTTGTATTTTTTCCAAAAGAGAACTCATGAAATGATTGTAACATAAACACACTAAGGGATGCCGCTAGGCAACCTGTCTTCCCTTCCTCTATCACCATGTAGTCAAATTAAAAATATCTTTCGCTTTACCTTTATTGAATAAAAGTTAACTTTGATTTAAAGGAAATGTACCCATTAGCCATTTTACACTTTTTGCAGGTCACAGAGTCTATCAGATCACAATGCTGGCTACCGCCGCTCACCAGGCACCCACTGACAGCAAGCATGCCATCGCCAATTATTTTACCAGCATTTAGAATGCCCCGATAGGTTACTCTGGCAATACCTAGAAATACGGGCAAGGCTGGTGGAGCAGAAGTCGAGGGCGGAGGGACAGGGAGCGGGGAGCGAGGGAGGGAGGGAGAGAGGGAGTCGCCACCTCAAATCCACGCCGGACCGGGAACCTCCAGCCCACAACCTAATCCTGCTCCCCAAAAGTGGACCCGCTCTCACGTTTTTTTCAGCTTCCCCCACCCGCCTCAAAAAAGACCACCCATAGGTACTCACCCTTCTGCAAGGAAGTCCGCGCCCGGTCCAGCTCCGAGACGGGGCGGGCGGGCAGCCGGGGAGGGGACGTCTGGCCGCGGGCGGGGGCGTCGGTGCGTCACTCGAGTGCAGGACGGCGAGTTCCACGGGTGGGAGCGGACGGGAGCGGGGCGACCGAGGCCCGGCCAGAGGGGCGGCGGCGCGGAGCGGGTGGGCTGGCGGAGAGCCCCTCCCTGGCATAAGCCCACCGGCCCTAAGGACCCTGCCCCGCGGGGGGAGAAGGCAATCGGGAAAGAACAGACTGCCCGGGAAACCTCTACGAGGACCAGGCGCGAGGACCGGACTTTAATTTAAAGGGGCGAAACTGAGCGAGGGCTGGCGGGGAGGCGGCGAGAAGCGGCTCTGGGTCTATCCCATGCCTTTGCGGTCCCCCGGCGGAGCAGGCTGGCTGAGGGGAAGTTGCCGCGGCTCCCGAGGAGGAGAAGGAGGAGGAGGACGCCGCGGAGGAGGAGGCGGAGGAGGAGGCGGAGGAGGAGGACGTTACACCGTAACAAGTACAGACAGCCATGGAGCAGGGGGCACTGCGAGCAGGGGCGGCCGCGACGGGGCGAGCGGCTGCGGGCCGCGGCACCGCCTGCTCCGCTCGCTCCAGACCTTTAATTGGATTGATGGGCTGTGCAGTGACTCACAGACTTTACAGAGTCCTACAGCAGTCCCCGCCCAGCTGGACCGGGAGCTGCGGCGCCGACGGGCGGGGTGCGCGGGCCGAGCTAGCTGCGCTGGGAGGAGGTGCCTGGGAGGGCGAGGCGCTGGGGGCGGGGAGCAGAGCCGAGCTGGCAAATGACGAGGCGCGCCGCTCCGACGGGCGTGGGTGTCGGCCAATGGTGGCGCGGCTCGAGCCACGGCCGGCTTCGCCCCTGGCCCAATGAGTCTTCTAAGGACACTGCCGCGAACGGGGCGGGGAAGTGGAGTGGGGGTGGGGAGAGGTGGGTGGACGTTGAAAGAGGAGCGGGGAGAGGGTAAGACGCGGCGCCGAGGACCCGCGGAGTCACTCTGCCCCTCCTCGCCCGAGAAGGGCGCTTCTGCCAATCCGGAAGCCGCGTGGCGCTGATAGATGCCAGCTAGTGGCCAATGAGAAGAAGGCTACTGGCGCGAGTGGGCGGGCTCACACCCCTCTCCCTCCCCTGCGCGGTCCTCCAGCCAGCCCGGCTCGGGTCGGTCACGCACGGAGCAGTGTGAGGGCTGGGGCCGCGCGGGGGGCGGGGGCCGCGTTGCTGGCTGCGTGACAGCGATAGCGACTGGCTGAGCTCCTCTGCCGGCAGGAGGAGGCGGCCGCGCAGGCTGGCTCCTCACTCCGCTTGCAGGCGCCTGCTGCTCAGCCTCTGCTGGGAGCCCCTGCGGCCAAACCCCACTCCCACAGGGCCACCAGATTGGGAGTGGACCGGAGCCAGACTTGGCCCCGCTCTTGCAGTCAGCTCCTTGCGAGGTCCGGTGGGGCTGCGCTCTGCGATCCGAGGAGCCTGAAAGCCGGAGACCGGAGGCTCGGCAGTGCATGGGCCCCCTCGCCCGCCTGTCTTCTGGGAAAGTCTGGGTGGGGTGGGACAGGTCGGCAGGGCTCCTGTGCACACATCGTCTCCTTACTGAGTTCTGCAAAAGGCCCTTAACCTGGCGTGCGCGGAGCTGTATGGCCTTTGCTTTTTCAATGCGTGTGTGGACCTTACCTTCCTCCCGTACGGCTCCCTCTCCCACTTCCTCACCTTGAACCCCGACGGCTGTGCTGGGGCGCACCCCACTACTCGCTGTGCTCCCTGCTGACTCCAGGAGCTCCGGCGTTTCTCAATACTTTGGCTACTGTCCAGTAATCAGCTCACCGACCTTAACCCTTTCCGTGTGCCGACACTTGGAAGTAACTGCTGTCACCAGTACACTTCAACAGAGGTGCCCACCCCAAAAAGCAAACAGCCAGGCAAGACCCGCTTTTCTTTCCTGCGAGGTGCGTTCTTGGGGTGGCGTAAAACAATTACTCCTCTCAAGAAACCAGGAAAGGCAAGTCAGACACTGCGTTCCTAGTCACATCTGCTTAGAACACCCTATGTCCATTTCCCACGCACAGGTCAACTCAGAATGAGGATTAATTTAGGGTTTTGAAGTGAGCAAGAGAAGTTTTTTGTTTTTGTTTTTTCTTTCTAGGTAACTGAAACCTGCAGTGGTCTGGAATTCATAAAGACAGATATTGGGGACAATGATTTAAACTAGTCATATCGGAGCTTTTTCGAGTTTTGTCCTTTTAAGATTTGTATCCTTCCCCTCAGCTTTGTTGTGACACTACCTGACGTCTCTTATGCCCCCCGCAACCCACCCTGAACTGAGGATTGAAACCAAGGCCTCACACGTGATAGGCAGGTGTCTACCACTGAGGTATATCCCCAGCCCTTTTTGTTTGTTTCTTTGAGTTCTGTTTGTTTGTCTGAGGCGGGGGTCTCCCTATGCTGTTAAGTTGCCAGGCTGGGTCTGCGTTTGGTATCCTCCTGCCTCAGCTTCCTGAGTAGCTAGGATTATATATCTGGGCCACTTCCCTTTCTGGTTTTAGCCCTACTCCATGTTTTCTCTCTGTAGTCCTGGCCCCAGTTATGAAAACAAGCTGTGCTACAAGGCTCTTCTACCACTCAGCTGCTTGGGTATGTGTTGCCCTCAGGGTGCTGAAACTCCTTTGGAGTTCTGCAGTGCCAGGAGGCCAGTTTCCCTACCTCCAAGAGATGGTGATCCACAGAGAGAGGACCATGCCTCTCTATACAGGGCACTATGATAAGCTAAGCAAACTAGATCCCTCATGTGAAAATTTGCTCCATTTCTAACATAGGCTACCGTACTGCATTTAAGAATGCACAGATACGTTTTAGGAAAGCTCTTTTCTTATATTTTTCTACTGTGAGGTCAATTTATGGCCAGGTGAATGTAACTGGTGAGTTATTTCTGTATGTACTGTGGTGAGTACTGATAACGTAGAAGAAACGTTTGAGTCTAAGTTTATACTAGTATCTTTCAGAGCATCTCAAATACCCAGAGTTAGCCATCTTGTGGCAGAGGGGAAAGAATAGGTCCCCTTTGTCAGTGGGTTTTGGCACACGTCCAGTCCCCGCTGTGTGTCACTGTCTGAGTCTTTCCTCTCCCCACTCCAGCATTCCTTAAAGTGTTGCATAAGGCCTGCCCGGATCCCTGGGCCTGCTTTCAGACCTGAGTTGCCATCTCTTTAGGCGGCATTGAACATCTGTCTTTAAAACAAACCTCTCAGGTGTCTTGGATGAACATTAAAATTTTACAGGATTAGAAAACTAAAATATTTGATTTGAGAATTCCCGCTTATTCTTTTTTTCCCTTCTTTTCCTTTCTCTCATGTACCCACTTCCTTCTTCCTCTATACCATTTAATTCTCATCTGGGCGATCACTTCCCTTTCTGTGTTTCTTGTGTACATGCCTGGGAGGTGTACCCCTAAAAAAGAGAATGAAGCTGGCAAACTTCCTTTCATAAATAACATGGGCATATCTCATATGACTACAACACTGAACAGTATGGAAAGCTAAATAAAATTTTATAAGCCTAAAAAAAATTACCTTTACTGATTTTATGTACGCTTCTATTTTATGTGTGAAGCTTACTAGTTTGTGATCTCAGAGTTCAGAGGCAGAATTTCCTTCTGTGGATTCACATGTCCAAGTACAAGTTTCAGCATACAAATAGTATGTCTATATCATTACTACCATTTTTCTGACAAACTGTGGAGTAAGACTAGTGATGTGCTAAGTCCACAGCAGTCATATTTTTTTTAAGTACTATATGAGACTGTGTTGTCTCAAGTAGTTTACAGTCTAGTGGAAAGATTCAAAAGTATACGCATGCAACGTTTAAATAGGAACCCAAGGAGAACTCTAGGAAGACTGTGTTTGTCAGATATAAGCAGGACTTGATTCATGTTTATCCAGTTTTCCTTTTATGTATCTCTGCTTTCTAATATGTTATGATTATTAATTACATGTGTAATTTTTTAAAATTTGAAATAAAGAACAGAAGCAAGATGTGGTAAAAGATTTCCTTTTTACTGTCAGTTAGATATTTATAAGGTTATAATCAAATTAGATTTTAAGGTCCTTGTAAACAGTCTGAATATATACCACCCACAGGAACCAGAAAAACAAAACAAATTCTTTCTCTTGGATAAAGGATTCATCTCAGAGCTTGCAGAATTCCTACATTTACATCCCAGGCAAAGATGAATTCACAATCCAAATTACAAAACAAATGAAGAAAAAGTCATTGTGAGAGAGAAAAAGCAGGGAGGAAGTGTGCATGCATACACACATATGTGCGCACGCACACACACACACACACACAGCAGAATTAATTCTGAATCTGAATAAGGGCAGTTGAAGAAAAGAATAAGACCATTTTACTTAGGAACATAGTTGCAAAAATTATAAATCAAATATCAGCCAACTAAATCCATCATGCAAACTCTGCTGAGCTAGGAGAAATCTTGACACTCTTTCCCTGACTTTAGATGAGAATACTTATCTCTTGAGCCACCTACTATAGGTTAGATCCTGAATGTCCCCAAAGGCCTGTGTATTGAAAATTTGGTCACCAGCCTGTGGCACTATTGGGAAGTGGTGAAACTTTCAGGAGGTGGGTCCTAGTGGAAAGAAGTTAGGTCATTGGGGGAGTGCCCTCAAGAGAGATATATGAGCTCTGGCCCCTCCTCTTCCTCTCTTTTGCTTTCTGGAGACTATGGTATGAATGGCTTTGCTCTGCCATACACTCCCATTATGATTACTGCCTCTCTACAGGCTGAGAAGCAACGAGTCAACTGGCCATGGACTGAAACCTCTGAAGCCATGAGCTGAAACATACCTTTCTTCCTTATAAGTTGATTGTCTCAGGTATTTTGTCATAGTGACAGAAAGCTGACTAACATATCTCTTATGAAAACATGTATTCCAGAAATTCAAGTATATTTTAACAGCTGAAAACCTTCCAATGTAACTTCCCTCAATTAGACTAATGGTGGGGGGCACGAAACTAAGAGAGAGAAAGCACTTGAAAAAGTGTATCACTTGTTAATGATAACAATTTTCAGAAAATTAGAAACAGAGGGAAATTTACTTTAAAAATAATTCAGAAGCAACCTGAGTTTGCTGAGATAGTCAGATATTACTTGCTACAATTATAATAATTACATAAAACAAACCTCAATTATCAGTGGTTACCAAAGCTTTTTTTTTCCTTCAAGGATCTATGTGTGACCTCAGATTCAGCTGATCACACTTAGGCTTATCAATACTTGGTTAGGCACAGGAGATTTTTAGCTGCTTGGCACTAGAATGCCAGAGTCAAGTTTAAGTCTTTACCACATGTTTCATTCTAGCAATAATCAGAGCTCAGGAGGTGAAGCCAAATCCCTCAAAAACATTTCATGTTTCTGAACCCATCATACCCACAAAC